ATAATAAAGTAAGGTTAATTTGCAATTCCACATAAATTATTAATAGTTATATATAATCTAAAGACTTTGATTTGAATTGATTATATCAATTTTTCACTTTTCATTGAGATTAGAGGGCATTTAGAGAAAGGAAAAGTAGGTTCATGTGAATAAGTACTAACACAGCACTTGTGATTTTAAGAGGTGAAGAGAAAAATAACATTTATGGGCTCTTTTTAGTCGTGACATTATCTTATTCCCTCTTTACTTTTTTTTGTTTTGTTTTATCTTGTTTTTCCAGTACCAGGAATTGAACTCACGACCTTGCGCTTGCTAGGCAGGCACTGTGCCACTGAGCTAAATCCCCAGCCCCCTTATTCCATCTTTACAATAACCCTATGAGGTGGGATTTAGATTTTTAAAAAGGTCAGATATTAAGCTGGGTACAATGGCGCATGTCTATCGGCCGACGCAGGAGAATCACTTGAGCCCAAGTGAGCTCAAGGGCAATGTAGTGTGATGTTGTCTTTTAAAAAATAAAAAGGCAAACTATCTAGGGGTTTTTGTTTTTGTTTGGTTTTGGTGGTAGGGACTAGATCCAGGGGCGCTCTACCACTGAGCTACATACCCAGCCTTTTTTATTTTTATTTTGGGTCTAAATTGCCCAGGCTTGTCTTTAACTTGAGATCTTCCTGCCTCAGCCTCCCTGATATCGGGGATTGTAAGTGTGCACCACTGAAAATGTTGATTATCTTTAATTTCATAGGATTTAACCTAAAACAACTTGTTTTATAAGTAATCAAATTGAGGCTGAGAAAAGTCATAGCTGTTAAATGGCAGAACTGGGATTTGCACTCGGGTTTTTTGACATCAGAGAATGTCTTCTTCTCCTTTCCTTCCTTTCTTCCTGCTTTTTGAAGTGCTCAGTGGTTCTCTTGTAGTGTATGTATTTATTTAGTAAACTGTAATGAGCCCTTTGGGAGTCATCCAAAGTGTTCCTGAGAACAGGAACACCGACAGGAACTTCCGTAGTTCTACCCTGGGGTCTCACCTGTCCTGTCCTTCTTTCCCTAGACCTGCAGTAACTACTACCTTAAATGTTTAGCATCCCCTTGCTTCTGACAAAGTAGGCTTTTACCAGATAAACCTGTCCAGCTGTGATATCCTGAGCCTGTAGTCTCAACCGCTAACCTTTACGGCTTGCTCCTCTGATGTGGCTGAAACAGAGGGGACTTCCTAGCCCTTCTCCAAGACAGCTGGGGCACTCTTTCGTGCGTATATTTGACCCCCCAGTGAGGTATAAAAACCTATAAAGCATAGGAGGGAAATGATAAAACTTATAAAACAAAAAAGAAACCTCCCATAACCTCTTCCTCATTTACTCTTTGGCTTAAAATCTTCACTTCTCAGAGTGAACGTGGGGATTTGATTCCCCATACTTAGGTGCCTCGGGCTTAGCCTTCTACTCAGAAGTGTGGGGCTGGGAGAGCTCATAAACCCAGTTATTCTTTGTGATCTTGGGCCAGTTTAACCACTTTCATGTTGCTCATCTGACATGGTCAGAATTTTGGAAAAGGATGGCTTCTTAGCATGTAAGTCATGCCATCCTATAATAAATCTGCTCTGACCACGAGCCGAGAATACAGACAGCAAGGGGAAAGAGTTCCACGTACTCTGGTGTACCTGCAAGCTTTCCTGTGATCTGCGACCATAAGATTCATTGCTGATGACTAAAGCAAGGAAAAACAGCATGGGATTCACTATGAATCTGCCGAAATTATTTATTTCAAAGACGGATCATTAGGTTTTACTAAGTATAAGGTTGTTTTCATTAAAACCTCAAGTGCCCAGGAAGAAGCAGCACGTTGGCTTTCAGGGGTGAGAAAATGGCCCAAGACTACCATTCCTCAGCAAGGGCTCCAGGCTCCAGCCATCAGCTCTGGGACTGTCACCTGCCTTTGTTAAGAATGCCTGCTGCCTGTCCCAGCTGAGAAAGGCCTGCCCTTCACCACTGATGTAGGAACAGGGCTGTGATTTGGGAATTTGTCTTTTTCCTTGTGACAGGTATGACTCGTTCCTCCAATTCTCTAACAGCTAATTTTGCAGGAGATTTTAGGTGAGAGCTTCAAATATGCAAGAAGTAAACAGCCACATACAAATATTAGAATATAATAGTAAAAGAGCTATAGATATTCAAATACTACTTGAAAAATATGTATGCCTGCCTTGCTCTTCAATATTTCCAAAGTGCTTTCACGGGCTCAAGTGCCATGAGTGGTACAGCTACACCAAATCAAAGACGTCCTCCTTCTCACTCAGAAGGCATCCCAGGTCCTTCAGTACCAGGATGATGGTCACGAATTTGCACTGTCAATGTCTAAGAAATGCACATTAACAGATATTTCCACCTTAAGGAATCAGTTAGGGCTTACTGAAAAACTGGAGCCTCAACCCTAAGAAATGAAGGGAGACACATTCCTCTTCGGTAAAATGTCCACTGAAATCAACAGAGCATCTTTTGAGGGTGTTCAGAATGGAGCAGCCTTGAGGCAACCAGAAAATCCCACCCACCTTTGATGGCGAGCGTGACTGAAGACAGGTGGTGCAGTTTGAACATCCCCTTCTCAGGTTTTTGGACGACGCAGGAGTACGTGCCTCTGTCTGACAGGCGCAGGGTCAGGATCACCAGGGAAAGCTTATTAGCGATGTCCAGGATGGTCCTGTTTTTGTACTCACTCCACACGTCTATCCTCCCAGCTACGATGCTCAGCACCATTTCTTTATCTTTTTGCCAGTAAACTCGAGCTCTGTCCAGCTCAGTCACGGAGATGTTGTACTCACAGGACAGCGTCACCGCTTCTCTCACTGCCTTGGTCACCTGCCTGCCTGAGGAGAGGCAAACAGAACAAGAGCTCGTTTTTATTAAATATAGATTCCCGCAGGCGCAGGCAGCCACAGGACATGGGGTGTTGTGCCTAGGGCCGAAGCGTGATGAGAGAATCCGGCTTGATTTTTTTCCCCCCTTTATTATTTGTGTGGTTATACAAACCACATAACATAAAATTTACCATCTTGGCCATTTTAAGTGGCGTTAAATGTATTCACATTGTTGGGAAACGGATTTCCAGACCTTGCAGATGCCAAACTCTGTTCCACGGGACGGCTCCCTTTCTCCCTTCCCCCCAGTCCCTGGTGGCTACCCGTGCACTATTTTTCCTATGAATTTAGCTACTTCAGATACCTGCTATAAGTAGTATGATAGACTATCTTTTTGTAATGGGTTCATTTCACTTATCATGATATTTTATCACGTGACATGATTTTCTTCCTTTTTAAAGAAAGAAAAAGGTGACATAACAATAAAAGAAATGAGCAGTGTCTCCCTGGGCCGACCCACTCCTCTGCTGATGGACATTTGGGCTCTTCCTGACTTTGCTATTTGGTGTGTATGCAGCTGCTGTGAATATGAGTGTGCAAATACCTCTTCAAGAACCTGATTTCAATTCCTCTGGATGTGGAGCCCCAGACTTGCTGGGTCATATGGCAGTTCTATTTTTAGGGTTTTGTTTGCTTGTTTGCTGTACCAGGAATCCGGCCCAAGGCCTTCACACTGTGCTACATCCCCAACCCCCTCCCTTTGTTTTTAAATTTTGAGACAGGGTCTCACTAAGTCACTAAGTTACCCAGGCTGGGCTCGAATTTGTGATCCTCCTGCCTCAGGCTCCTAGAGTGTTGGGATCACAGGCATGGGCTACCATACGCAGCTTTATTTTTAGTTTCTAGAGGAACTGCCATCCCGTTTTCTGTAGATGTTGTACCACCCAAGCTTTTGAATGTTTTTCAAAATGCACTGTTTAGAAAAGTAAATAAATTGGGCAAAAATGAACTTAGTTTAAAATCACTACGGTACCCCGTAACCTGACCTGTACTTTTTCTGAGGGCTTCTGCAGTGGCCTGCAGGAGTAAGGATGCATAGGAGCCGTCTCTGAAACCAGGGAATCCTCAGTCCTGCTACTTTCTACTGTTTCACATAACAGAACACCAGCCTAGATGGAAGTCAGCCCTGATCAGGATCCCGGAGGAGCAGTGGGGGAGGGTCCAGTCCTCCGTCTGGCTAGAAGCCGTATGTAGGCTAGCTGTGTCACTGCACAGCGTCTGCCACACCCTGCTTTGTCTTCAGTGTCACTCTGTGGAAGGGAACAGGTGACCTTTCATGAGTCCCTCTCGCATTATACGACTTCACGGAGGAAGTAACTGAGAGGCTCAGGAAGCTGGAAAGGGCAGGTTGTGCCTTTGGGGGAAGAACGGAAAAGGAAGATGGAAAACAGCAAGAAGAAAACAGAGGGCCATATGTTAATCAGGCGATATAATCAGTCCTCATTATCCGTGGATCCATCTCACAAGACTGCTGTGCCTTAGAGAGAAAAATACGTGTTGGATAAGCTTCCTTCAGTTCTGAGTCGTCGACCACACAGCCAGTGTTGAAGAATTAGCACTATTCCTCAACACTGTCCCTCAGCAGAATCACGTATGAACCAGGGCTATGAGCTCTCAGTGATAATGAAGCTGTTCCTGGAAGCTCACAGGAGCCTGTCTGCATGGCCCCGGGAGCAAAGGTTCAATACTCACTGAGTGAGCATCTTCACAGAGCATAACTACTTCAGTAATGAGGAGCAACCCTACTTGCATTATCTATTTCAAAATGTACTCGTTATAGGCAGAGTAACATTGCTTCCTGGAACAGTGCCGTCCCATTTTCTAGAAACTCTGGTACTGTGGGTAGAAAACACCCTTGCTGAGGCTCCTTCCTGTCTGTTCCTGGTCACGCGCCTGAGAAGCAAGGGACTTCCAAGAGCGTGCATTCTGGTGGCTTTGTCTTACAGGTGAAGGCGCTAAGCCAAGGCAACTTCCCCAGTTTACACATCTGTTTCTTTCTGGCCCAGGCTCTTAGGGCCATGCTGTTTTTGTTTTCTGTTCTCCCCAGTTCTAGGCTGCAGTTCCACAATAAAAGAGCCATCATTGCCCTGCCCCTCCCGGCCCTGCCATAGCGCTCTTTTGCTTTGAGAAAGAATTTTTTTCTTTTCAGTCCTGGGTTCACTCTACAGCTTCAGGCGGCAATGACTCTTCTCACCTCCACCAGACCAGGCCGCGGTTACACCTCTGCACTTTTTCTAAGGTTATCAGCGACCCGAAGTGGCTCCTCTATCCTGTCTTTACCTCCTGGCTCTGGAGATCCACAGTTACTCAGCAGCCTGGATTTGCTGAGTATTCCATTTTACTCAGCCTGCCCATTCTCTCATCACTAGGTCCTGGAAATACTAACATCTCCGCATCCCAACACCATCTCCATGTTAGCTTCCCGCACTCACCAGCAGCACACAACTCCTTTCCAGACTATATCTGTGATTTTTGGTTCTGAAGGTCTGGTCACTCTTCCCACACTGTGTAGGACCTAAAAGCAACGTCCCTCTGAGGCCCAAGCCCTCCTGACTAGCTGCCCCTGCCTGGAGCTGTCAAGCTGCCTCCCTTGCCTGTGGCTTTTCTTGGAAGGCAGGACCATGAGGCACTAGCACATTTCCCCCACCAGCCAGTCTCAGGCCTCTGTCAGACTGGCCATGTTAAGAAGATGGTGTTAATGTTTTGAAATTCTGTATCATTTTTATTGTTCTCTAGGCTGTTTTGTTTATGTATTTGTTTTTGTTATCTTCGGTTTTTTTAATGAAAAACAAAATTTATATGCATATATAAGGATAGCTGGAATAAATGTATTGCTGATATCTGTGGTTTATTGAAAGGAACAGTCAATGCTTAAAGTTTTCTTTTTTCTTGACCAATTTTGCATGCTTGAATTTGGTAATCAGCATGACTGATCTGAAAACAATACGCAGTATAAGAACCATTGTTGAACTACCATCTTGTATGGTGAAGCTCTGCATCATTTCCAATTTTTTAATTATTATTATTATTATTACTTGTTACTGTCTTTGTTGTTGTTTTTTTCTTTGGTACCGGGAATCTAACTCAGGACCTGGAGTTTGCCAGGCAGGCACTTGTACCACTGAACTATACCCCCGGCCCTTGTTACTATCTTTGATTGTTTGATCAATCTTACATTCTTTTTTTTTTTTTGGTACCGGGAATTGAACTCAGGACCTTGTGCTTGCCAGGCAGGCATTTGTGCCGCTGAGCTATATCCCCAGCCCTAATCTTACACTCTTATGTCTGGTGGACTGAGCAACTTCGTTGAAGATAACAGTATGTAATGTAGCAATCATTGTTAATTCCTATCATTTTGTTTTGAGGTCATGTATCGTTTTTGTTGTTTTTTGTATTGTTTTGATTTTGTCTTCATTGTTGTTTTGTTCGTTTTTTTAATTTTTAAAATTAAATAAAAAGAAGAGGGTGTTAAGAAGAGGGTGTTAGGATCACAAGTATTTGCATAGCAGTGAGGGCTAGGCCAGCCCGGTCCTAGGCACCGCTTCAAGCAATGACACCAAACACCACCGGGCCCTGCTTTAAGGGATGTAACTGAAAGGGAGAACAAATGAAAAGATAAACACAGAAGGAGCATATTCTGGAGTGGAGCTATAATAGCTAAAAGTCAAGCTACAACCTGGTTACTCTTAGGGACACAAGGGAGACAAAATGGACTATGTCAGCTGGTCTGGTGGGGTGGGCTCTAGTCCCAGCCCAGGAACTTGCTGATTAATTTGTTTCCTCATCTCTAAAATGGCTACGATGCCTATTCCTCAAGATCCCTCTGAATTAAATTCAATTAGATGATATAAATAGAAACGTCCCAGGCAGGACTTCTGTAAGAGTTTCCTTTTTTCTCTTCCCATCTGCCTGCCCCAACTCCTACCTCTACTTTCTTTTTCTCTCACTCCAGGGTCACTTGATATAGTGAACTGGTCTTGCTATGGGCCAAACAGACACCGTGGCACACAGCAGTCCACTCATCAGAGGCTCCTCTCCGCACATTGCTTGTTCCCACCCAAGGCAAATCTGCTTTTGAGATGTAACGACATGAGCAAAAGAGAAATCATAACTGCAAGTGGAGCCATCTGATTTCGATAGCGTTTCCCAAGGAGTTTTTGTCCAGCCATCTGAGGGGAAGCGTGGGAGTCGCTCTAAAGGTCATGGCACACCATCAATGAGCTGCTCGACATTCCCATCTGAGCTCCTCCTGTCACCAGACACTGCTGCTGAGGAAGAACCAGACTCAAAAGAGGAACCAAAAATCTCTCGGGCAATTTGGAAATTCCCACAGGAACCCGGCTCCCATCTCAGGGACCCTGCTATATGCAGAGTAATGGAAAAACAGTTCGGACGCTCCTGGGGGCTCTGGTCTTCGTCAGTGACTCTGGAGGGAAGTCAGGTGACTGAAACCTCGGCCTAAACCTCGCAGAATTTCTGAGCTTATTATGTTCAAGCCATTTTACAAACGAGCATTGCAGTGCCACCAGAGCGTGCGTGAGGATTCAAGAGAGAGTCTGCATGTAAAACTCCTCACAGTCCCTGGGACTATAGAGCTGGCGGCGCCTACTTTAGATGTCCTCACAGCTGGCTGAGGGCTGGGCCCGTGTCCCTGGTCCCAGAAGCCTCCTCGGACTGCCCCTAAACCATATCCTCCTGTCTGATTCCACTAATCCTTCCTCTTGAGCCCTGATTCCTTGCCTCAAGCTTGTGTCCAGCAGGTACCTATTTATGTGTGGGGTGAATACTGATATATATATCAGTATTACATATTATATATGTTATGTATTATATAATTATATAATATGTAATTTATACAATTATATAATAATATGTAATATAATACATATTATATATAATATATAATTATATATAATATGTAATTTCCTACGGGGCAGGGATTTGCTTGT